TGAGGCTTCGCTGTTTATACTTACATAGGGCACTATCACACATGCCTGGAATTTGTACAGGAGAAGAAATGAATGAAGTTTTCAAAGGTAAATGTCCACATGGAAGGATATAATAGAGTTTGACTCTTTTTGTTGTTGTTGTTGTTGATGTTTGACTGCTGACAACTTTTAGGCCTTACTCCCGCCTCTCCCCTTTCTGCCCCACATCTGGCAAGCTTATAAGAAAGTCTAGGTGCTCCCTCCTTTGGCACCAGTAAGACATTCAAACCACGTGAGCCCTTGCCAGTCCAAATGAATCCTTGCCCTTACCCCACTCCTTAAGCACCATACAATCCCAAGTCAGTCTTCTTTCCTTGCTCTCTTGAGCCATTTTTGGACCAGCTTGGGAGGCCCATCCTGGTCTCTCGAGAAGCCTCATTATGTGAGTAATAAACCTTATACCCTCTTACTGTGTGTGTGGCATTATCAGTCTTAATATCTGAATCAAATTGTAGGTGGAGATCCCTCCTGTTATTTCAGGTGGTTACAAGAAAGGAGCATACTGGGAAGGAATGATGCACTCATATATTGAGTACTAAGTTGAGCATGAGAAGAAAAAGTTTATGGCCAAATCTGAGTAGTGCTTAAAATTTGCTCAGTGCACTCATATGTGCAAAAAGTATGTAGGACCTTTATCTCTTTTACTGCTCTGGTCATCCTCATTAGCTGCATCTACCTCTAGCTTTACCTAGTCCAGCATTCTTTGTCTGTCCTGTTGAGAATACTCACAGTATCTCAGGTTGACTTTTCCCTCCACCCAACCATTCTCTATCATGATGTTTCCAGTACACAGGTGGTTGTAGCAAGGGGCAGTGGCATTGGAGGGAGCAAAGTCTCATAGAATTCAGATGGTTTTCTCTGGATCTTCATTTGCTTCTGCTGGAAGGTAAATGCTCTAGGCTGCTCCCTGGATTGGTGACTGCTGAAGTGTACAGTGTGCCCTCCATTCCCTAGGTGAGAGGACTGAGGCTGAGAGAGGTTCAGGAGCTTCTCTTTGACCATGGAGGCACTACACAAAGAATAAGGTTGGCATCATTCTCTATGTAATGGCAACTAGCCCCCAGCTCATAGTTTTAATAAAAATTCACACTCCAACATATGGCTCCCTAATGTACATGTACACAAAGAATTGAAAAGTGACAAGTGGTAGGAAATAACTTATGACAAACATAAGAGTGGAGGCATAATCTGTAAACTGGTGATACCTCACCTCTGTCATCATTTATAGGATTGTAACTTGAAAACTTTGTACTGCTATTATTCGAATTTCAAAAGTTATGCCTGCTTATTGTCTAAAGTGCAAGCATTAAGAAGCGTGGACAATATGTTGTGTGAATGTTCCGTTCAACTCTTTTTTTTTTTCTGTGAAACTTAATTTATTGGATTCTTTCTGTGGTTCCATGACATAAAATCCAAACAAGCTTGTATTCTGGATTCACTCAAGAAGCCTTTGATCTTTAATTCTAATTACATTGATGCCAGGATAAGTAGCTACATACAACTGTCCAAAGCAGATAAAATTAAAGAATTCCTATATTAAAATTGACTCTTGGTCCTTTCTAAATAAGTACAAATAAGAAGCTTTAAGAGAATGTAGATGAGTCATGAAATTTTGCAGAGCTGGTGAAATAGAATTTTTATTGAATTGAAATTCTTTTTTTCTTCACCAACATGGAATTCATACTTGAAATTGATGTTACCACCTGGTATTTAATCAAATATTTAGAAAGCCCGTTTTTTTTAGCGAATTATGGGGGTACAAGTGTTCAGGTTACGTATATTGCCCATGCCCCCCTCCCTCGTACCATCCCTCCTCCCCTGTCCATGCTGCCCGACACGCCGATAAATGTTATTCTTATATGTCCACTTAGTGTTGATCTGTTAATACCAATTGCTAGTGAGTACATGTTGGTTGCTGGCTTTTTCCATTCTTGGAGATACTTCACTTAGTAGAATGGGTTCCAGCTCTATCCAGGAATATACAAGAGGTGCTATATCACCATTATTTCTTAAGCTGAGTAGTACTCCATGGTGTATACATATGCCACATTTATTAATCCACTCATGAATTGATGGGCACTTGGGTTGTTTCCACACTGCAGCTTGCAATGTGAATTGTACTGCTATAAACATTCGAGTGCCAAGTATCTTTTTTCATAAAGTGGATTTTTGATCTTTGGGATAGATGCCCAGTAGTGGAATTGCTGGATCAAATGGTAGATCTACTTGTATCGCTTTGAGGTATCTCCGTATTCCTTTTCACAGAGGTTGAACTAGTTTGCAGTCCCACCAGCAGTGTAGGAGTGTTCCTATCTCTCCTCATCCATGCCAGCATTCATTGTTTGGGGACTTTTTGATAAAGGCCATTCTCACATGGGAGTAAGTGATATCTCATTGTGGTTTTGATTTGCATTTCCTGATGATTAGAGTGTTGAGCATTTTTCATATGTTTGTTGGCCATTATTCTGTCTTCTTTTGAAAAGTTTCTCTTCATGTCCTTTGCCCATTTGTTGATGGGCTTGTTTGATTTTTTCTGGCTGATTTTCCTGAGTTCCAAATAGATTCTAGTTATCAGCCCTTTATCGGATGTGTAGCTTGCGAAAATTTTCTCCCATTCTGTGGGTTTGTCTGTTTGCTCTCTTGAGAGTTTCTTTGGCTGTGAAGAAGCTTTTTAATTTGATCAGGTCCCATTTGTTTATTTTTGTTGCTGCTGGTGATTGCCTTGGGGTCTTCTTCATAAATTCTTTGCGTAGGCAATGTCTAGAAGAGTATTTCCAACATTTTCCTCTAGAATTCTAATAGTCTCACACCTAAGGCTCAAGTCTGTTACCCAGCGTGAGTTGATTTTTGTGAGAGGTGAAAGGTGTTGGTCTTGTTTCAGTCTTCTACATGTGGCTATCCAATTTTCACAGCACCATTTATTGAATAAGGATTCTTTTCCCCAGTGTATGTTTTTATCTGCTTTGTCAAAGATTAGTTGGCTATATGAGGATGGTTTTATATCTGGGTTCTCTATTCTGTTCCACTGGTCAATGTCCCTGTTCTTGTGCAGTCCCAAGCTGTTTAATGACTATAGCCTTGTAGTATAGTTTGAAGTCTGAATAAATGATACCTCCTATTTTTTTTTGTTTTGTTTTTTTGTTTTTTGTTTTTTTTTTTGAGACAGAGTCTTGCTTTGTTGCCTAGGCTAGAGTGAGTGCCGTGCGTCAGCCTAGCTCACAGCAACCTCAACTCCTGGGCTCAAGCAGTCCTCCGCTGCCTCAGCCTCCCAAGTAGCTGGGACTACAGGCATGAGCCACATGCCCGCTAATTTTTCTATATATATTAGTTGGCCAATTAGTTTCTTTCTATTTATATAGAGACGGGGCTCTGTTCATTGCTCAGCGTGGTTCGAACTCCGCGACCTCGAGCGATCCCGCCGCCTGGCCTCCAGAGAGCTAGATTACAGCCGTGAGCCACCGCGCCGGCCTATTTGTTTTATGCTTAGGATTGATTTTGCTAACGGGTCTCTGGCCATAAGAAGTGTAAATTATTTTTTATCTGTGAAAATGTGATGATGGTATTTATAGGGATTGCATTGACTCTGTAGGTCACTTTGGGTAGTATAGACATTTTACAATGTTGATTCTGCCAACCCATGAGCATGGTATAATTCTTCCATCTGTTTTTATGTCCTCTGCTGTTTCCTTCTTCAGTGTTTCATAAGTTCTCCCTGTAGAAGGTCTTTTACCTTCCTTAGTTAATATATATTCCAAAGGTACTTTATTTTCTTTGTTGCTATTTTGAAGGGAATTGAGTCTTTGATTTGGTTTTCACTTTTACCGTTGTTGGCATATATAAATGCCTCTGATTTCTGTGTATTTATTTTGTATCCTGAGACTTTACCAAATTCATTTATCAATTCAAGGAGTCTCTTGGTTGAATCCTTGGGATTTTCTAGGTATAATATCATGCCATCAGCAAAGAGTGAGAGTTTGATCTCTTCTGCTCCCATTTGGATGCCCTTAATTCCGCTCTCTTGTCTGATTGCTGTAGCCAGGACTTCCATCACTATGTTGAATAGAAGTAAAGATAGTGGGCAACCTTGTCTGGTTCCAGTTCTAAGTGGGAATGCTTTCAATTTTTCCCCATTCAGTATGATATTGGCTGTGGGTTTGTCATATATGGCTTGTATCATTTATAGGTAAGCCTCATCTATGCCTATTTTGTTGAGTGTTGCCTGCAATTTGGAACTGCTTATTGCCAGTTGTTGAGAGAGGTCCCACAGAGCTTCCCATAACGTGAGTTTCTGTGCTACTGTTGTTTGTTTAGAAATGAAAACAAGTGGTCAACCCCCTCAAGAACATGGGCATGGATCACCTGGTGTTAGCTCTCTGAGGAATGTGCTGGGCAGACAGGCTGACTCTCCCTCACCCTGCAGGTGCTAACATGAGACTCCTCGAACAGTGCACCTTCAGGAAGGGAGCAGGGTGAGATGGTGGATGGGAAGACAGATGGAAGCATGGTGAGAGCTGTGAAAAGGCTCATTTACACTCACTTGTGTACAAATCATAAAACTGATCACGGTATGGTCTTTGAAAATGTTCAAATGATGAAGAATGAGAAGCAAAATGTGAGTCCTCTCCTTCCTGCCTACCTGCCTTCCTTCCACAGCCCTCACTAGCCAGTAGGCATCCCTTGCAAAGCCCCTGTTGAGCCAGGTAACATGCCTATTTCTGCAGGCCTCCAGGGAGAGCGTCTGACAGAGTCCTGCTGTCTCCAAAGGCCAATCTCTGGAAGCAGTGCGTGTCCTTTCTCATCAGGATTCATTGGCAAACTGCCTATGAAGGCAAGCCTAATGTACTTGCTAAGGCCAGCCAGGGACGAATGGGGGTAAGGGTGGGGGTGGCAGGGCATTTCAGTCCTGGCCCCATGGGATCATGCTGGGGGCAGATGAAGAGCAATCCAGGACACACAACATACAACATGCAACATGACTCTTTAATAGGAAAACAAACAGTGATTGGGAGTGGGGAACATACACAGAACAACTGGCTCTTTGGGTGGTTATGTTACCTGGCCTACAAGTTAACTTTGGCCTCTTGGTCAGCCAGGACTAAAACCCCAGTCATGGTTGTGGCCTTAGGCTGGTGAAAAGAGAAGCAAAGGTGATGTAGATAAAGACAAAGATGTTATCCAAGGGCTCCTTTCAGGGGCTTTGTTTGCAGGCCTCCTCTGGGATCTTGTCCTCAATCTAGTGGAAGTAAAGGAAAGGATTTGGGATGTCAGAAGAGTCAAGCCTCCTCAGTTGCTTTCCCAGTTCACCCTGCCTCCACTTTTCTGGCATTCCTGAAGGCCCAGAAACACCCATTTTTTACTCACTTGATTCCTATATCTCACCTGAAGTGTAGCAAAGTCCTGATCAGCTTCGGTATAGTTCTGCTCATCCTGAAGGCACCTGAGGCGGGGGAGAAGATCAAGAGACCTCCATTATTTTCCCAAGATAGGCATGCTTCCACAAAATGCCACTGCTAAAACTATGCTACTTTTTTGCTGGGACACATGTACCAGTATGAGCACTAGTGGAATGATGAAGAAAGACCTAGTGAAAATCAAAACATCTATCACTAACATTAGTGTACACTAGAATTCAAAGCAGAAAAATAAGAGTGTTCAAAAGAACAAGGGAATATAATACATATTGATTTTTAAAAAGATGTTCAAGAAAATAACAAATTCAAAAATAAAAAAAATTTCCAATCATTTTTTAAAATTATTATTATTATTTTTGTTTCAGCATATTACAGGGGTACAAATGTTTAGGTTACATGTATTGCCTTTGCACCACCTAAGTCAGAACTTCAAGCAAGTCCATCCCCCAGACAGTGCACACCCATTAAGTGTGAATGTACTCATCCCCTCCGCCTCCCTCCTATCTGCCTAACACCCAATGAATGTTACTACTATATGTGCACATAAGTGTTGATCACTTAATACCAATTTGATGGGGAGTACATGTGGTGCCTGTTTTTCCATTGTTGGGATACTTCACTTAGTAGAATGGGCTCCAGCTCAACCCAGGATAATACAAGAGGTGCTAGATAACACTTCCAATCATTTTTAAATTGAGATATAAGACATATATTATAGTATTCACCATTTTAAGGTACACAATTCAGTAATTTTCTAGTGTATTTACAAGATTGCACAACCATCACAATTAACTATTAAATAATTCCAAAACATCTTCATCACCTTCAAAGAAACAACTCTTTACCCCATTCCCCTCTTTGCCTAGACCCTGGTGACTATTAATCTGTTATCTGTCTGTATGGATTTGTTTATTTGGGGTATTTTATATAAATGGGCTCATACAATATGTAGTCTTTTGTGATTGGCTGCTTTCATTTAACATAAAATTTTTAAGGTTCATGCATATTATAGCATATGTTAAAAATTCATTCTATTTTATTTCTGAAATAATATGTCTATTATATTGATATATCACATTTAATTTTTCCATTCAAGACATTTGGGTAGTTTCTACTTTTTGGCTATTATGGATATTCATGTACAAGTTTTTGTGGGAACATGTTTTCATCTCTCTTGATGGAATTGCTGGGTCATGTAGTAATACCATGTTTAACACTTTTGAGGAATTGCCAAACTGTTTTCACATTGAATGCATCATTTTTCATTCTCACCAGCAATGTATGAGGGTTCCAATTTATCTATATCTTTGCCAAAATTTAAAATTTTTTTTAAATTGACACCTAATAATTATACATATTATGGGGCACATAGTAATATTTTGATGTATACATGGTGATCAGATCAGGGTAATAAGCATATCCATCATCTTAAACATTTACTGTTTCTTTGTATTGGGAACATTCAATGTCCTCCTTCTTGCTATCAGAAACTATACATTATTGTTAACTATAGTCATCCTACAGTGCTATAGGACACTAGAACTTATTCTTCCTCTCTAGTTGTAATTTTGTATCCTTTAATAAACCTCTCCCTATCCCGATCCCTTCCTCTTATCAATACTTGTTATTTTCACTGTTTAAAAATCATAGCCATACTGGTGTGTGTAAAGTGGTATCTCTGTGTAGTTTTGATTTGAATTTCCCAGATGATTAATGATGCTGAATATCTTTCCATGTACTTTTGGATATTTGTGTGTCTTTTTTGGGAAGAAGTGTCTATTTAGATCTTTGCCCATTTTAATTTGGGTTGTCTTTTTACGGCTGGATTCTAAGTTTTCTTTATATAATCTATATACAAGTCTCTTATTAGATATTTATGTCTCTTATGTAAATATTTTCTCTGATTTTGTGACTTGTCTTTTTACTTTATTTAGAATATCTTTGATGCAAAACAAGTTTTAAATTTTGAAAAAGTTCACTTCATCTAATTTTGTGTATGTGTGTGTACTTTTGTTGTTATATGTCAGAAACCACTGCTTAATTCAAGGTAATAAATATTTATCCCTGTGTTTTCTTCTAAGATTTTCATAGTTTTAGTTACATAGTTTTAGCTCTAACTTTTAGGCTTTTGGCCCATTTTGATTATTTTTGCATGTGGTGTAAGATAGGGTACAAATTCATTCTTTAGTGAGTGGATGTCCAATTATCTCTGTACCAGTTGTTGAAAGGTTATTTCTTTCCTGGTTGAAAATTGACCATAAAGGTGTTTTTTTTTCTTTTTTTGACTCTCATTTTATTCCATTGATCTATATGTCTATTCTTAGGCATGTGCCACCACTGTTGATTAATTACTATAGCTTTGTAGTAATATTGTTTGTAGTAACTTTGTAGTGGGTCCTCCAATATTGTTCTGCTTTTTCAAGATTATTTCTCTATTTTAGGTTCACTTTTTCATTTAAATCTTAGGATTAACTTGTAAATTTCTACAAAGAAAGCTAAGATTTTGCATTTGCATTGAATCTATATATAAATTTGGGGAGTAATGCCATCTTAACAATCTTAAGTCTTCCAATACAGGAATATGGGATATCTTTATTTAGGCCTTCTTTAATTTATTTCTACAATTGTAGATTTCAAATTATATGTTTTACATTTTGTTTGTTAAATTTGTTCCTCAGTATGTTTTTTTGTGCAAACAAATGGAAGTGTTTTCTTAATTTTATTGTCTGATTGTTCATTTCTGGTATAGTAATACAATTGATTTTTGTGTATTAATTTTGTCCCCTGAAACAATGCAGAACTTGTTTATTAATTTTAATAGTTTTTTATTGGTTTCCTTAGGATTTTATATATACAAGATCATGTCATCTGATCTGAACATTACATTGTTTTAAAGTTAGTATAACTATAAACAATAAAATTAATATGTATATTTTACAAGCCTACTTTTCTTGGAAGCACAATATCCAAATAGTTATTTTTACAAATTAACTGAAAGCTTCCACTTTTTATTCCCTACTACTCCCAGCTAATGCTTATCCAGAGAGACTGCTGGCACTTACTTCTGAGACCCCGTGAGGTTCATCTCAGATTGAGTGGAGGAAGTCTGCACTATTTCCTTCTGTTCCTGAGAGAGGGTAGGCATGGAGCTGGAGGAGGGTGTGGGCACTGAGGTGGAGAAGGCGCTCTGGGTCTCTTTGGGGCTGGCATTTCTCACAATCAGTTCATCATTCACAATGTACATACTGGAGGAAAGATGGGCCCTCAGACAATCAGACAAATGGACAACCCTGCACTTCTAACAATGATCCTGTTTCCCCTGCCACTCACCAACCAGATGCTTTCCAAACCCTTATTCTGCCTATCTTCCAGATCCCTTGACTGGTAGACTTTACCCCTACCACATAGTTCATCCTTGGAGAGACCGTTTATCAATTTGCTTAAATTTGTAGATTTAACCCCAATGCATGTACCCTTTACAAAAGAAGGGGACCCTCATCCCCATTTTCAGAAAAGGACAAGTTAGTCACAAGGAAGTCTTCTAACTTGAAGATTACACAGCTAATTATTGAGGGTTGGGTTCAAGAATAGAATCTGGTATTTTCCTAATCTAGACTTCTCCTTGGATCTACCTGTTAGCTTTGCATGGTATTGAGAAGACCCTAAGACTATATTATCACATTTCTATACCACTGGCTCCAGGCTGGAATGCATGCTCCTACCCACAACACAGCACTTACCTGGAATCGCTGCCAGAAATCAAGATGAAGATCCGGGTGAAGGCACGAACACAACCCTGGGACTGTCCTTCCACTTCAACGACAACAATGATACCTCCTTAGAGTTGCAAATGCTTTACACGTGCACATGGGGTTCCCCACTCAAGATCTTACCTGATACTATTGTGACACCTTCAAGGGACCAGACTGGGACAATTTTTCACTTGGAGTCAGGAGAGGGTTCAGGGACTGAGAGGGCAACAATAGGAATAATAACCTCCCAGTAATAGAACCTCCTAACATGTGCCACATGCCTTGACAAACACAAGTTCACTTGACTCATTTTTTTACAGTTGCCCAAGAGATGAGACTACCAGTCCCATTTTGCAAATGAGGAAACTGAGTGGTTAGGTAACAAATAGGCAGAAGCTCAAAGTTCTTAAAATAAGGACATGTGATGAAGAGCGATCAAACTCCATTGCCCGTGTCCCTAATGTCTGAGCTGTGCAGGGGCAGACAGGCACACATGTAGGTCAGGTCAGCAATGACGTTTGGGAGCAAATGAGAGGTGGGAGAAAACAAAAGGAATCTGAAAGGGAGCATAGAAGATAGGATGGGAGGGGAAGGGAGGAAAACAACTTAGAAGGCTGAGACAGATCTAGGAGGAGGCCCAGCCAGGGAAAGGGAGTAATAAGAGATCTGGGGAGGGGTCTCTGCAGACACTTACCTTCCTTGAACATTCCATTGACAGAAAAGCAAAGCATCTTTTCCTGAAAGGGAAGAAGAGTAAACTAGAGCTTTCATGATCCTCCTACCTACCTACCTATTTCCTACCTACTTTGACCTTCTGGGCTTGCCTGAGGGAGGAAGCAGGTACTCACCGTCTGGACACACAGGTCTACCACATAGGAGTTAAGGTCATGCTGAGTTTTGGGCAAAACACTGAGAGAGTCCACAATCTCATGTTTTGTGTGCTTTAGCATCTGAACCCGCATGTCTGTGTAGGAAAAGAGAAGCATTAGGGGTTCCACACCCTGACCCCTATACCCTATTATTGACTCCACATTCCCTTTCCCATGCTGTTCTCCCCTATCACACACTTACCAGGGTCCTTGACCTTCTTCATATTCCTGCTATCCTTGAAGTACTCGCACAAACCGCTTCTAAAAGAGAAAGAGGAACAGGAGGTGGTGGTCCAGCCAGTGCAAGTGTTTCCAGGAGCTGACCTGTGTCTGCTGGGGAGGCACACAGCCCTGGAGCAGAGTCTGAGCCGTGATACTCACGAAGCTGGGTCCTTGAGGTTGAAGGGAATGGTCAGGGAGAAGCAGGCCTTCTCATGGTAAGCATCCAGGAGGCTCTGTCGGTCTCCAGAGTCATAGATCAAGTAATACCTGTGGGGGAGCAAGGGGGGACATGCTATATCTATGGTTTGGGCCTTAAAGGAGTCTTCAAAGCTCCCCTCAACTCATGAGCAGACATGTGCTCGAGGTGGCCTGTCTTGTCCCAGCCCTCCCCTGCCTCATGGTTCCAGGGGTACTGACTGAAGCAGGAATTGAAGTACCAGACTCTTCAAAGACTCAGATCCTTTATAGCTTTCCTGGAATGAAAAGACACCTTGAAACTATGTGGTTGGAAAAACCTCCTTTGAAACACCTCAAATCATCATTGTCCCTTCTCACCTTACAAGGTTTTATTATCTCAGGGGTTTCGGCATCAATTATAGTTAGAGATGTTAACTCCTGGCCATCCTGAGGAAGGGAAGAGGTAGTCAGCAGTGCAGACCAGGGAGGTAGAGCTGGATGAGCAAGGAGATGAATGGGTCCAGGGGGAACAAAGTCAGGTGTGAAATGGCCCTTGGAATTCTATTAGCAAGACAATAGTTGAAATATTCACCAGTGGGTCCTGGAAGCCTCTATTATTATATGCAACTATTGTGTGAATGAGCAATCTTGAGACAGAGAGAGAGAGAGAGAGAGAGTATGAGCATGTGTGTTTATGGTCACTTTTTGCCAGTGACAATAGTCATGCTTTTGTCAGGAGTTCATGCTCCATACTTGGCTAATAGTAAAATGTAAAAACCTAACCTAGGCAATTAGCAAAATGCTTGAGGGCAGGTACAGAGGTCATGTAGGTTAGTAAGAGGAGACAATGATGTCATGTAGGTTAGTAAGAGGAGACAATGATGACGGTAAGTACTTACCAGGCGTAACAATTCTGGGAAACGATCCCGCATGGCACTGTCCAAAACCAAAAATAGAATGAAGTGACTGACAGTTCAGAAGCAGCAAATTGAGCCAGACTCCAGGGATTCCTTGCCCTCCCTTCCTCTCTTTCCTTCCTCCGAATCCCCATAGAAGGCTCCGCAGGGAGCAGGGAATGGAGTGTCAGCTCTGCTACCTCACTGGGTGTCCACCACTCTGCTGGGTCTGGCTCTGGCCCTGGCCAACACTAGGTCATCCCCCAGAGATGGCCCAGGATGCTGGGGCAGGGAGGTGAGTGAGGCCAGGCTCAGGAGGCAGGCGGGGGAGGAGGGAGGGACAGGTGGCAGAAAGAGTATGAAGGTCAGAGAAGGAGATATGGGGGAGACATGGGAAAGCAGAGGCCAAGGAGAAAGAGAAAGCAATGCAGAGGGAAGGGAAAGATGCTCTCCCATGGTGGTGGGGGGTCAGGGAGGAAGAGAGAAAAGTGCTCCTCTGCGGCTGCCCTTTCCCTCACCTGACCCTGGCTGGCCGTGGGCACTGAGGCAGGAATGGGAACCACACACCCATTGGGCTGGGGCTTTGGTAACCTGTGTGAGCCCAGTCTGAGCTGGGCATGGGAAACGAGCAGCCACGGGGGCAGGAAACCTTCCCAAGAAGGAGTGAAGCATCAGGCTCCAGCTCAGCATGGGGTTGAGGGTCTGGGACCCCCTCTCAGGATCACCACATTTTGTCCTGATGGTCCCAGCCCAGCTGTGCCCATCTGAGCAAGGGAAGGAGGGCCCCTCTCAGAAGAGGGGGGGAAGGCCTATGTCAGCACGGAGGCAGGAAGGCCTGGCTCAGCATGGGGTCCAGGGCAGGAGGACCCTTCTCAGTCCACGGCCCCAGGATCTGGCCCAAGGCTGAACACCCTTGGTCCTGGTGAGGCGAGGAGCCCTGCTTCCTGGCACACACTCATGGAGGGCGTCCTGGAGGAGGCTGGCTGCAGAGAGGTGGAAAACACACCCCCGAGCAGGGCAAAAGGGGAGCAGGCCAGGGAAGGGAAGGAGACCTGTGAGCAGAGCTGAGGGACACAGACAGAGAGGAGAGGGCAGGGCCTGTGATCCTCCCCGAGGGCCAAGGCTGCCTCTCCCTGCAGAAGGGCACTGTCAGGGGCAGCTCAGCCTCCCAGGGGGCGAAGGGGACCAGGAAGGGTGACAGAGGTTACCACTGACCTTATGTATGCGGACTGGCCTGGGAAGGTGCGGCACAAGGGGTTCCCTTCCAGCCACAGCTCTTCCAGCTTCAGCCCTTTGACCTTGCTCAACTCCCATGTTGACTTCAGCTGAGAAGTATGAGGGGAAAACCAGAAAAAGAGTCTCAGGGTAAGAGAGACATCTGGGACCCTGGACCCTCCGTCCCCTCCCTCACCCACAGGTACTTCTGCCTGCCTGTTGTCATCACCCTGATGTGCACTACCACCTACCCTCCTCCACCCAAATTTGTCCTAGTTCTCTCCTCTCACCTCGTTTTTGGAGAGGTTCAGGATCTTGACTTTGGGAGCCTTCTCTATAATGTGAGACAGGCCATCCAGCCGGTGCAGTTTGTTGTTGCGCAAGTTCAAGGACAATAACTTTTGGGGAAGAACAGTTAATTAGAGTGATGTTTACTCTCTAGGGCCTCGGAGTAAAACCTGCCCTTCATCCAACCTCTTCCAGCCCTCTACCTAAGGCCTCACCTCAGGGAAATTCATCTCAATGATCTGCAGGGTGGCAGCCATGCAGTTTCTTCGATTCAGGATTATGTCCATATCACGCCCCACCAAGTCTTCAGAAAAGGGAATCGGAAGGCTGAGTGGGGTTCGCCCGGACCAGCGGCAGCACCCACCCCTCCCCAAGTTGCCATCCCTGAGTCTCCCTCCCAGACAGACCTCTCTGCCCTCACCTGCCCTAGAGTCACTGCCGACAGCCATACCTGGGTCAAAGCGGAGCTTCTGGAGGTCAAGAGCTTGCTGGGAGACATCATATCGTTTGTTAATGGTCAGCTGTAAAGATAGAGGTGGAGAGTGGCTCTGAGGCTGTGCTGGCAGTGGTGATAGGGAAATTGGGGCCTGGGGCAAGAAGAGGTGAGTCCAGGAAGTGGGCATACAATGTGCCTTGAATCTGCATTACCTTTAGCTGCTCCATTTGTTCTGGTTTCAACTTATTTTGCATAGAGTAGGGTACAGCAGAAGGACTGACAAAGATAGATATCTGCAGGAAGGAGAGGCAGGGTAAGCTCCAGGACCTCTAATCCCACAGACAATAAATGACCAGCCCCTGGCCTGTCCTCCTGCCCTGAGATCAGGTACAGGGAATGTTCTTAATACATACCTTTTGATTTTCGTCATTGAAAATTTTGTGTTTGACATCCTTCAATGCGGAGGCAGTATCAGCATCCTGGACAAAGAACCGGGCCCTATTTTTGACATAGTGGAACTACGGGGAGTGAAGGCCAGAGCAACACTGTCAGAGGCCAACAGTCCCTGCTGAGCCAGGCCTCTTCCCCTCCCCTGTGTCCACCCGTCTGGCTTCACCATCCTCTCTTACATCAACTGGGGTGAAGGGGACACTGCAATGGCTCTGGATTGAGTTCATTAGCCATGTCTTGTCATATTTTACCCCATGAGGAATCTAAGGGTGAAAAGAAGAAAATAGGAGAGAAGAGAGACACCACGGAATTAAGCCTGCAGAACACACCCAGTTAGGTGTTTTTTTCTGATCTTCTACCTAGCCTTCATGGACTTCTAAAGAAAAGAAGGTTTTTTCCAGATATTATTGTCCTTTCTTTGTATTCCAGATTCATCCCCAACAAATAATGAAATTCAGATGCTCAAAATGATCTTCCTTTCACAAGGTTCCAGGAGAGTCCACTTATTAAAGGCCCAGACTGCCCTTCTGAGAAGGACTCCAGAGACTCAACATCCCCACGCTCAGCTTGAGCCATGAGGCATCTGCTGGAGAGCTGCTCCATTTTCTTGGCAGTAGTTTCCACCTTTGCCTTTAGACAACGTCTCAGGTCTTCTTGCAGTCAGCCTGTTCCCTTTATATTCCTTCTCTGAACCTACCCTTATATGTTAACTCCCCATGTCCCTAGAAAAGTACCTATCACTTCTACATATGATCAGCACAACTCTTCTAGACCTGCCCCTCCTGCACATTCCCTACATTTTGTCAGGACACTCACTGTGATCTTGAACCAGCACCCCAGGGCTCCATCCTGCATATTCTTCTCCATTTCTCTCTCTGGAGTAATACTATCTTGGTATTCATTATGCCATTTCTTATGAATATTGTTGGGTTTTAAGGTAGATGAGTTGCTGTGGGGAAATGGATTGAACGATGTGTCCATAAATGTATAGAAATACACAGAAACGCTACAAAGTTTTCTATACACTCTCAACTCAGTGGTAACTAGATTTACAATTAGCATCATTCAACCATTATTCCAATTTTATCATTCTGCACTTTTTTGGTTAGAGAAGAAAAAGAAGACCACAGAGAGTGAAAGAGTTGCAGAGTCCCAAGGGCTGCTACATGCAACCAGGCTGCCTGGTTACTTACTGTCTTACTTGGGGGTCCTCGTGGACATCCCTTATCACCACGTTTTCATCATCCTCCTGAAGATGGGAAGGTGAATGCTCATTACCACCATGTTCATAATGAAGGTTCTCCTTGTCAAAATTTCCCTGGAAAGAATTCCCACCGTTCTCTTTTCCTTGAGGAGAGCTTCCACCATTACTGTCTTCTGAAAGTGATAACAAAAATACAAGTTTGAAGACACATCAGTCATCATATATCACATACCATGTCTTGGCCTAACCCTACTGTAAGGTAGGCAAAGTGCCAATCTGCCCTAATAGAGCAATCACACAAACCCCAGAAAGCAAACTCCTCTACCTGTCCAGATATGAGAGCCTTTTCTCATAGACAACATAACTAGTGAAGAAGTCTTAAGGGAGGAGGTAATTTTGTGGAACCATTTGGAAAATAGAGCAGGATTTATAAAGAACATAAGTGTGAATATTCATGGGTCAGGCTGGACATCAGCCATACGCCAGGAAGGCAGCCAAATCTTGCCTTCTCTTCTGCCTCTAATCTAACAACCTCACCCAAATCTGATAGGCAACTTCTCTCACACCTCCCCAAAGCAATCAGCCACCAAATTCATTTCATTAACATTCTTCGAGCTGTATTTTCTTTTCTAGTACAAGCTTTCATGACAGAATGGACTGATGCAACAGCCTGCTAAACTGTCTCCCTGCCTCCAGCCTTGCCCTCAACAATACTTTCTGAAATACCTAAAGTGTACTTTCTTTTTGCTCAGGCCAAAATGTCTTTCAGCTGAAGAAACATTGCTTCTAACATCCACTATTCTATAATAAGGGTCTGAATAATGAACTGAAATGGTAGGTGTCAACTACAATTTCCAAATGTTTAGAGAGTTTTCTATGGTCTGAGAGCATTCTTTGTATGATTTTAGTTCTTTTCAATTTGTTGAGGTTTGTTAGATGGCTTAGGAGATGGTCTATCTTTGTGAATTTTACAAGACACTTGAAAAAAAGTATAATCTGCTGTTGTTGGGTGGAGTATTCTATATACATATATGTCATGTAGATTTGGTTATTGTATTAATTACACTATTCATATCTGTACCCTTGCAGATTTTCTGTTTAGTCATTTTACCATATGCTGAGAGTGGGGTGTTGAAGGCCCCAACAATAATTATGGACTTGGCTATTTCTCTGTTCAGCTCCATCAGTTTTTGCTTCATGTACTTTCAGGCTGTTGTTTTGGTGTGTACATATTTAGGATTATTGTGTCTTCCTGGTGGATTGATCTTTTTACCATTATATAATATCTTCTTCATCTACTGATTTTCTTTACTCTGAAGTCTACTTTATTGAATGTTATGGACGCAGGTGTGCTTATAATGTGCTTTGGTTATATTTCACGCTATAAGTACCCCTAGGAGTTTCCTTGTTCACACCCTCACACGTCCCATCAACATATTTAATTCACAGTGTGGCAAGATTTGGAAGTTTAATTTATATCTACAGAAATAAGATAGTATCAATTTTCTCTCCCATAGGTGTATCACTAAGTGTATTTTATTTTTATCACATTCAACTGAAACAATATACCAGTAGATGGTAATACTAGTAGTTTTGGAGATGGGGTTAAGGAAATTAGAGTATTAGAAACCAGCTTCCTTTTGGGCTCTAAATTTAAGGTTCTCTAGCTTTGTATTTTATACATATTATATATTAATTACTCCATGTTGTCTCAGGACATGCTTATGAATAACAATCCACTTACTCTTTTTTTTCTTGAATTCCAAATAATTTATGTACATCCTGCATTTTCTTTTTTTTATCTTTTGTCATTTTGTTTTTTGAATTTTTTTTAATTGCAAAATATTAAGGGGGTACACAGCCATAAAAAAGGTGAATTAATGCCTTTTGTAGCAATTTGGAAGGAACTGGAGACCATTATCCTAAGCTAAGTATCTCAAGAATAAACAAACAAACACCACATGTAGTCTCTAATAAATTGGAACTAACTGATGGGCACACAAGTACATAGAGGAAAATAAAAGTCATTGGAAATCAAAGAGAGGGAGAGGGAGGAAGGGAAGGGCAAAACTCCACCTAATGGGTACAGCGAACACTATTCAGGTGAGGGGCATAATCCATTCACTGTTATACTTTACAATGTACTGATTATGATCAGGCTTCAGATCAACTCTGGGGAGTCACTGCTTTCACTGTGAGACCCATGGTCAAGAAAATCCTGCTACTCACAACTTTTGGGACTTTCCCTATATGGCAATGGAAGTGAAATTAAATATGGCTCAGAAATTCTTCATGTTCAGTCCACCAAATTTGGAGATAGCTTGGAGTGCTCTATTTTTCTCATACTTCTCATCCAACTGATCAGGATGAAATCTTTGGCTCTACCTTCAAAATATATCCAGAGGCTGGCCCCTTTTCACTACCCCCATTGCTACCTCCCTAGCCAGGTCACCACCATCTATCTCCTGGATTATGTTGCCTTCCAACTCTTCCCTCTACTTTTATACTTGCTTCCTTACCATCTATTTTCAACATAGCAGAGAGGGAGATTTTTTTTAAAGCACAAGTCAAATCTTGTCATTCCTCTGCTCAAAATCCTCTAACATCGCCATCAAATTGGTACTAACTGATTAACACTCTGGTGCTCAAATGGTGGTGGTGTTCACCAGGGATTTGGGCATTGGAGGGGGTAGACCCACATCTGAGGGATGTGGTGAGCAGTGTGGAGGGGAAGGGCATACCTCTAACCCTTGCTAGGAAGAGGTAAAGATATAAAATGTAACCAAAATGTTCATACTTTCATATTTTCTTAAAATAAAAATAAATAAATAAATAAATAAATAAAATCCTATAACAAGGATTTTGTTAAAAATATGTTTAAAAGCCATGAGTTCATAATGATACTCAAAAACAACAATAAAAATGAACCTTATTGGTGACATTTTGAGAGTACCAGGAAACCAACTTATTTTTATGAAAATCTGTAAATAAATGGGAAGAATCAAATATTTCTTCTGCCTTTCCTATACAAGCTGTACATAAAGATAGCCAAACTGTTGATTAGAGTTTCTCTTTATAAGACTATGCCAGTCAATATATGAAGAAGGCAAGACAGAATTTGATTAACATCATTTAAAAACTTCTAAGTAAGTAAAGGATCTATACAATGGTCATCAATGGCTGGTAAAAATCACAGAACAGTAAACAACCGGATATCATGTATATGGTTATGAGCACCACCTATGAAGTATTCTTGCCAAAAACATTGAATCTGAATCTGATCAAGCCTCAGCAGCAATCTAGGTCTTGTATTATTATGGAGATGAAGTGAACCAAATGTGTGACAAATGATCTAGTTTCTTTAGCAAATAATTTCAGAAAGAGAGAGACAAGCCGCGGTGGCTCACGCCTGTAATCCTAGCACTCTGGGAGGCCGAGGCGAGCGGATTGCTCAAGGTCCGGAGTTCGAAACCAGCCTGAGCAAGAGTGAGACCCCGTCTCTACTATAAATAGAAAGAAATTAATTGGCCAACTAATATATATAGAAAAAATTAGCCGGGCATGGTGGTGCATGCCTGTAGTCCCAGCTACTCGGGAGGCTGAGGCAGTAGGATTACTTGAGCCCAGGAGTCTGAGGTTGCTGTGAGCTAGGCTGATGCCATGGCACTCACTCTAGCCTGGGCAACAAAGTAAGACTCTGTCTCAAAAATAATAATAATAATAATAATAATAATAATAGAGAGAGAGAGACAAAGAGGTGACATGTGAGTATGTTTGGTGTTGTATACTAGTATGCTATTGGATAAGTTATGCATAAACAGATATATTTTCAAACTGAAATCTATGGCAAAAATATCTGTAACCTGCTCTTTTCATTTAACAATTTTTAATATCATTGCATCTTCAGAAATATTTAATTGGTTTTTATCATTTGCCAAATTAACATGATTTTCCTTTAAAGAAATTGTGGAAATTAAAGGTAAGGTCACCTGTTTACCAGAGCAAGAATTGATGTTTGAAATTCATTAAACTGGAAGCTCAGGAAAGAATAAATATGATTAATAAAAAATATATCTTTTAAATATTTTCTAAATGTCCAAATAACAATTTGAATTTAATATAATTTATACATTAGATTATTTAGTTAAAATTTTAATTGTCATAAACTTTAACCTACTAATAAAATTTCTAATTTTAACAAATTTTTCCAAGTGTTTCCTACTGTAAACAATGCTACTAAGAATAGGATCATACATACATTCTATGTATTTGTTTACATTTTTCCATGCAACAATAATAATTCTATAAGTGGATTATTTTGGGCAAAACATTAATGTTTTCAATTTTAAGAGATTTTTATAAGTGGCATTCAAAAATATATTTATACCTGTTTTCACGCTAATCAAGAGTGAGTGAATGAGCCTATATCCTCAAAAGTTCACCAACAATTTTAAAAGTTCATATATGTTGATACGACAATTCCCCTTTTTAAAGTTTATCTTTTGGAAAAACATTGCCTCTTATGAATATATACATATTCATTTTAGGATGATGGTGGGAAGAGGGGGATACAGAATCTATTGTCAGGGGAGTGGCTGAACTATCAGAAAATACTTGTAGGCTGGAAGAGACCTGAGGGTCTCATAAACAAAAGGCAAAGAGTCGAGGCTGGGAGCATAAGATGAAGATAAGCAATGGCAATACAATAAAATGAGAAAAACACCTGAGGTACTGACTGATCCAAGCTAGCCATATATGTCCACCTGGAAAACTCAATGGAAAGTATATAACATGTGTTTTCCTGTTCCTGCTCTGAAAAAATAAATTTAGAGTTCTGTTTCTGGCAATGAGAAACTAGGTAGGTTGTACCAAACTTCAACTGAGGATAACTAGAAAAGTGTGGAAAACCATTTAAAATAAAAATGTATTTAAAGGCATCAAAGAGCTTAAAAGGCATCAAAGAGCTTAACAATGCAATAAGATGTTATGCGGGAAAGAACAGGGGAAAAAAGAAACCCAGATGGCAATCCCAATCCTTGGAACTACTTTTTTCCTAGCAGTAGTTAATGATTCCTTTAACGAAACATGTAAAATGGTGCGATGCTGTGAATTTGTACCAAATTTCCAGAGTCATGGTGCTAAGAGCATAAAATTTGAAGTTGGGCCTATCAGG